GTAAGGCCCAGGTGGACGATAGATGATAACAAGTAAGACTGGTTTCTGAGTTTTATAACTAGGGTGGACAAGGCTAAGTATCAGGCTTTCAAATGAATTAAAAGTAACTGTGAGCATAAAGTTCAGGCTGCGGACTACACTAAACACATCTGAAGCTGAGAGAAAGAAACAATAAACCACAGTAGAAGAAATCATGTGATCAAGGTTAAAGATCAGCACAGATCTGTGGGCTGTTCGAAGAAGCTGTTAAAGTGTGAGCAGTATGGAAGCTCTGTGATTTGTATCTGAGCTTGTTCCCAGTAAAGTCTGAACTGGGACTGTGTGTGATGCAGAGAGGTGGAGATTGGAGTTCTTTACTGAACTACAAAGCTTGTAATCATGTTTCCTGTTGTTTTAACTTATTGTGTTTGTGTTCAGACTTTAAACCAGAGCCAGATGTCGTCTACTCTTCACTGAAGTAGTCCACCAGTCCAACCACTGATGTCCAGCTGCTGGCCTCTAACTGGTCCCCCCAGCACCTCAGACCAGAGGACATCCACATGCTAACAAGACTTCTGTGGGTTTCACAAAGGGAAAACTGGACTTCTGGTTTGGTTCTGGCCTAACAACACACACGTTTCTTAACTGAAGAAAACAAAGAATAAAGACTAAACCACAACCTCAGCCTAAAAACAACCGGAGCATCAACCAGTGTCTTTAAATCTTCATTTATTTGTGTTTGAGACGGAAGAGTTTTGCCTCTTTGTTTCCTCAGTCAGCTAGAAACCAACCAGCAGCCACTAGCATGGTGAAAAAGTTTTATAACTGTTTCACTTATTTATTTGTATCACTTTCACCTCTTCTTAAAGTCAATAAAGAGGTTTTGTTTTTTTTTCTACTGATGGCATGAGTATGAAAATCTTTGGGTTGCTATTGTTACAGAATCATCTTGATCACAAACTATGCCACCACTGAACTAACACACAACATAAAATCGGGTATATGGGTTGTTGGGGGAAAACTCTGTAAAAAACCCAGGAGAAATAAAGACACAATGAGACAA